CTCCCTGGGAACAGCGCTGCCCACCCAAGGAGGCGACCGGCGCTCCTGCCCCGCTGGCGGGCTCGCACACGCACAAATACCCACGCGTGCGCCTCCCTCGCTCCCTCGCTGAAGTCAGCGCTGGTGTTTTCAGGTTGCTCAGACCTGAAATCTGAGGGAAAAAGCTCAGCGTTTGCGTCGCTGCTCCTGCCGCTGGTGGTGGTAGCGGTGAAGAGGAGGGAGGGTTTCTGGTTTTTTTCTTTTTCTTTTTTTTTTTTTTTTTCTTTTTATTCCCCTTGAATTCAATGGATCTGAACTTGGAGTCTTTGGACCTCGGCGGTTTTGGAATATCTACATGCTGATCCTCTTTGTTGTGGCACATCAGCTCGTTTGGGGAAACCATCCGAAGACAGCAAGATGTTTCTCGCTCTCTTGTACTTCGCTTTGCCCTTAGTGGGTAAGTTGCTGGCGTCTGATTTCTCTCTGTACATCGCTCCATAAAGCAAAGCGTGGGGTTTATGGGCTCCGATGCCTGACGGTTGTCAGTCTATTGTTTAGGCAGAACAGTGAAGTTTCCAGTAGTTTTTCGGCTCTGCCTCACATCAGTTCACCCAGCCTACATTTAAAGCTCTGGGAGATTACGGACTTAGATACTTGCCTGCGTAGCCTCTTGTTAAATTGGGTTCTTGCAAGTTACAGGGAAACTTTTCAGTTTAATTAAAAACTGCTGCATCTTCACCTGGACCTGGCAGCCTGCCCGACTGCAAGTGGTTTGCAGCCCAACCTGGTTTCCTTTCCACAGGAGATGTTTGCGTTTCCATCTGCGTGTGTCTGAGGGAGCGTGACAGGGGGCACGATGGAGAGGAGAGAGTTAATGTAATTTGCTTTGTTCTCCTGCAAAAGCACCATACGTGGAGAGAAATGCGAGGGGGGGAGAGGGGGGGGAGTAATAAATTCTACCTTTACACACGTAGAATAAGCAAAAATGTGTACAGCCTTTAAAAAGTGACTGACGCAAAAAGAGGCTAATATCAATCTGTGAGGATACTTATCTCTCCGAGCGGGTTGTTCGTGGATGTAATTGAAATTACAGCAAAGCTCTTGCAGAAAGTGAGGCCGAATATTTAACCCCTCAGTTAAACACTCGAAGGGAAGGGTTATTTGTTTCAGTAAAGTGGATCTCAGGAATAACGAATGCTTGTTTTGTCAGGCACATTAACCCCTGTGGGTTTTCCTTCCTTTTTGTGTTTTCTCATAAATCAACCAGCGGGGTTAAAACGTACTGTTGCCTTGGACTCCCACAAAAGTGGATCTAAGACGGCGAAAACCCGGTGGGCTTTTTTCCTAAGGTGCAGGATGGAGCCCTGAGGTTTGCAAGGTGCCGCCCGTGGGGCTGGCTGCGTGCGCTGCGTGAGGAGGTGCCCCGTGCTTCCCAGATGCCTGCTTTGGAGCCCTGGTTAAATCGGCCTCAACCAGAGTTTGTTGGTTTGTGTCTCCTCTCTCTAGATGTACTTTTGTCCGCAGAAGTGAGTGGGCTGCCTGGAGGGGACCGCCTTGACTGTGTGAAAGCCAGCGATCAGTGTCTCAAGGAGCAGAGCTGTAGTACTAAATACAGGACACTGAGGCAGTGTGTAGCCGGCAAAGAGAGCAACTTCAGCCGGGCAACAGGCCTGGAGGCAAAGGATGAATGCAAAAGCGCCATGGAAGCTCTCAAGCAGAAATCTCTGTACAACTGCCGCTGTAAGAGGGGCATGAAGAAGGAGAAAAACTGCCTGCGCATTTACTGGAGCATGTACCAGAGCTTACAGGGTACGTTGCAAAACAAAGAAACGTTCCACTCCCCTAATGCAGTGTGTGATTTTTGCAGCCCCTTGTGTCCGCAGCTAGCGACCGCCACTGAGGCTAAACCGAGAGTCTGACCCCATAATTCACACTGTGCTCTTCAGCTGCAAACTGAGGACCTTTCATCCGACTCAAGAACAGCTGCTGCTCCGTCTCCTGTTGATGGGAAATCCACGATGAGGGTTTCCTCCAGGGGACCCAGCTGACCTTTCTAAACCCCAGTCAAAAGATAAGGGCACTAGCAAGTGCAAAAGCTACAAAAACAATCATTTGGAGACATTTTCCTAATAATGTTTAAACTCCTTAATTAGGACTCACCTAACAAGATCACAGGACACTGGAACTAGTTTCTTAGCTCATTGGTGAAAGTTAAATGTAGTATGGAGAGGAGCACTGTCTTAAGGAAAAGTTTATTCCTTCCTTTCCTGTATTTACTAGCAATATTCCCTGGATGTGCTGAGGCAGAAAAAAAACCCCAAGAAGTTTGTGCTTCCCAGAGCGTGTAGAAGTGCCAGTTAGGAGGGATGTGACAGTGATTGACTCGGGACTTCTGTTCTTGATGTCACTGGCAAATTCCCTGTAGTCTACTGAGAACAGTCAGGTCCTTATGTGGGCTATATCGTTTTTAGCCTGGTTTTGCTCCAGCCCTGGCGTTGAAGATGCAATCTTTCACTTCAGCACGGTCCCCATTTAACTCTTTTCTGTAGCTGCTTCTGCAAAAAGGGAAGGCATCCCTTTCTGTTCATTTATCCAGGCATTAAGTGGAACGTTTTAATGAATCAATATATATTTTTTTGTTCTGACTTCCATAGTAAATTACACTACCCTTGGACATTTTCTACATTGTAAAAAGTTTCCCTTCCAACAGCATCTTGTTAGGAGTGCTTTATTCCAAAGATGCCAGGTTTTGGCCGTTACCTGGGCTGCTCCTCTACAGAAGAGCTCTGCTGGGAGGGTGAATGAGGAGGAACATCCCTGCTACAGCTGCTCTCCCGCTGGCAGGAGATGGGACAGTCCCTGTGATGTCACAGCCTGTCTCTGCAAATTATGATCTTATCCATGGAGGAAGGAGAGGAAAGAGCTCGTGTCAGGGATAAACAACTGGCTGCTTTCAGGTGTATTTGTAGATAATGCTTTGAGGAGAAATAGCCACATAAACAGATTAAAGGGGTGTACCCTTTGCTTTTACAGAGTAACTTCATTTCAGAGTAAAAGTAAACAACAAATTCTTATCCTGAATTCTCATATAAGAAAAAAATGCATATATTTTTTATCTTTAGGAAATGACTTGCTTGAAGATTCCCCTTACGAGCCAGTTAACAGCAGACTATCAGATATATTCAGGCTAGCACCAATTGTATCAGGTAAGCAGACTTAAAATTCTTTAATTGAAACATGATTACAATCTGCTGCTTTGTAGTTGAATTATGGAACTTTCGAGCAGTTCTCTCTTAAATAAAAAGAGATGTTAATGGCTTTCTGGATTTAGGAAGTTCATGATAACAGTTGCACAAAGGAAAATACTAATCGGTTTTGAAATAATAACTAAAACTGAAAGAGTGCTTGGCAGGATGGCAATTTGTATTCTTTTTGAGTCATTCTTGACAATAAATGCTAAATTTTCCTGTAGGTGGCAATCTGATTCCCTGCGTTCCTAATTTACAAATCAGTTCCTTTTTGGGAATGTGGTCAGCGCAGGTTACCTCCCACTGACATTAAAGAAGATCAGAAGATAAATCCTTCAAATGTTTGCATAAGGGAATGCTTTATAGTTTCATACATTTTTGTTTAAAAAAGAAATTTCAGAATTAAGGCTTGTCTTCTTTTCTGGAACTGCTGCCTGTTTGAAGAGCCTGTTCACAACTTCCTTCTTTTTCTAGTTTTTCTCTGAACATTTTTTGGTGCTGTGTGACTGTCTTTCAGAACTTATCTGTAGCAATTTGAATATGTTGCTTGGTAATTCAACTATGCTGTTTGGTTTTTATCAGCCTAAATTATGCTCATTTGGGGTCATATTTACTGAAACAATGACTTTGGGGCATTCATAGGTGTTACAGGTTGGAATTCATTTTCAGAGTTTCGGAAAGTCTTATGAGGATGCAGTCTGTACTCAGGACCTTTATTTGTTTAGTTACATTAAAAAATTAAATGTGCACGGAGTCATGTGTAAGTCTGACAGTGCTGAAGCTGTACTTAGCTGACATGCTATGGATAAGCATTAGTAGATGGCTCTTTAAAAGAAAGAAGAGAAGACCAGAGAGAGTGGCTTGACTAATTTTTAGAAGTACTTACACTTTTTAGGACTCTAAGTCTCATTAAAAGCCAGGGGGACTTAGGCTGTTAAGTATTTAATGGTACAGATTTTCAAAGGCATATAGACACATAAAATGTAGATAACTGCCCATTGGGACTTTCAGAAAGGACTAAGTGATTTAAATAGGCGTTAGATGCCCAGGCGGTTTTAAAATTTCTAAGTGCTTAATGCATCTTTAGGTATCTTAATACCTTTGAAAATCAGCCCTTTAGTCACTTTTCAAAATGTGACTTCAGATCCAAATCACAGATGTCTTTTGAAAGCATTATTCTAGGTTGGTGAGCAAGTCTGTTGGAGAAACAGTAGAGAACAAAGCTTAATTTCTGAAGAATCTTGATTTATTTTAGTTTTTCTTGCTTAAAAATCCCAACTTAATACAAGACCAAGACAAAAATCAATGCAGAGGGGTTTCTTAAAGTTTACGGTCAGCCTGCTGAGGGCCAAATTCTAACCGACTTCAGCAGTTTTATGATCTCCATAGAAATACCCTATGTACGCTCTGCTTTTCTGTTATTTTTTTAGATTCCCCATATACTTGCAAAGTAATTATCTAAAAAATGTAATAATTTTTTTCTATCTATTCTGTGCAACAGTGAAATAAGACGTAGTTGCCAACAAGTGACGCCCATCCTACCACAGTCACTTAAGGTGCTCATTCTGTGTTACCAGTGCACCCCAAATTGCTGTTCACTTTGTCAGAAGTTTCAGGTTCACAAGGGCTGGAGGCCTAGATTCACAGGGAGCGGCAAACAAAAGTTGCAATACAGTGGAAAAACACCAGTATTTGGAAGTATTGTTATCTGAAAGAAAAAGACTAGCAAAAACATTTTTCTTATCGTCATGGTTACTACTGCATGTTACATTCTTTAAAGCTGCCTAGTCTTACAGATTTTTTGCAGGGCTCTGCAAATACCCCAAACAGCAAAACTGGGTAAGATTTTTATATCTTGATTAAAACAAAACAAAACAAACCCCTGTACAAGCAGTGTTGGCAGGGGTTTCATAACTGGTGCTCTGCTAATGTCGTCATTGTGTTTATAGATATTGCTGCAGTATTCACTCTCATTACTTGGGTGTAATTGAAAGCAGTGATTAACCCTTTCATCTCACGAAGGCCACTCTGTGGTACTGTATGACTTGGTGTGTATCAAGCGTAATGCTTTTGCCATCTGAGACAGTATAGAAAATCACAACAGTTGTCTTCTGTGGTACATAAAAGGGGAAAAACATTGGCCAAGATGACTGTTTGGTGTGTTACCTAAGTCTTTTGAAGCATATGTAAGTCTAAGAAATGGAGGACAGTTTTTAAAAGCAGTTGAGGCTGATCTAATTCTATACTGAAAGATGTTCAAAATTGCATCCTCTACGGAAACAGGATGCCACTTCCTCATTAATCATTCAAGCATCAGTATGTTGATTTAAAAGAAAAATCAGGAATATATTGCTAAACCTGTTACTAAGTTTGTAGTTTCTCTCCAGTTCCTGTTATGTTAACGGAACAAGTGATGCAGTCGTGTTACTAAAGTGAAGCTCTGTTTTATATTTTCAAGTGGCCTATGTTATACTGGGACTAGTGGTATAGGTAGTCTAGAACTAGAAGGACAAGCTAAGTGTTCTATATGAAACTTAAAACAATGTCCAACACCACAGAAAACTCTAAACCCACAAAATTATTTATCATAGTACTAGCTGTCAAGCCCAGGGCATCGGGTATCATTTATTTAGATACTAATGAGCATGAATTTTGCATTTGAATCACTACTAAATTTGCAAAGAAGGTGTAATTTAGAAAAAAAAATAGATGGCTAAAATAGGAATGCGAATTCAGTGGTTGATGTACTTGTGATGACATATCCTGAGTATTCGAGGGTCTGATCTACCTTCCCTTCCATCCACACCTTAAGTTCCTAATTCAACTCCGTGTATAAAGTTAAAGTTAGTCCTCTGACACCTCACGTGGCCAAATCCAGGACTGTGAGCCTTCCCGGCTGAAGGACGGGGCTGCCTTGGTTTTTGTTTTGGGCATGTCTAGGTCTGAATTTTCTTCAGAACTACTATGTCTGCTGTGCTGTTTCTGCCTCAAGAGTGTGAATTTCTTGCTGGTAGGCAGCTCTTCAAATTACTGAAGGCTTGTGTGGTGCATTTTAGAGAGTAACAGATTTGGGTTAGTTATTCTGATGTAAAGATTTTACTTAAACAGACATTTTTGCTTAAACCTTAACAACTTCTGAGAGGTGAAAACATTTTAAGGCCATTGACTTCTGTCACAACTACAGTAAATGCAAAATCTGTTGATTGGATTTCCGAGGCGAGTTTCACACCAAATTAAGGATAGATGCTTGAATTAGTCACTTGTTAAAGCTATCTACAGCTTTTTACTACCTGGGGAACTGTTTGCCTCTTGAATTTGTATTGTATTTGACATTGAGCCTTGCAGCTGGAAGATATCTTCTTATCTCGGTATCAGCTGATGCAGTACAGTGGTCATCTCTGGCGTGTTGTCAGAAAATATCCTGCATAACAACTGTAGCTTCACGCACCTGTAGAAATACTGACAGAATAAATGTTTCTGAAATGGCCCATTCATTTCAACACAAAATGGGGAGCCACTAAAGTTGAATAAAATGCTTTAAGCCATATCAGTGAAGTGGTGTAAATAGAATACTTAATATTGAAAAGAATTGACTATTTAGATCAACGTATTTAGGATGACATAACACTCTTCTCCCATGGATCCACTTTTAAGTTGCCTAGTTAATCGCAGGCTTATCCCATTGTTCAGCTTTGTGTATCTTTTTGTCTTTATTTTACATCTGTTATGTTCAGAAAAAAATGTAAAGAACAGGCTACATAAATCAGAATATTTCTTAAAACATGTAGGTTTTGCTGGTAATCCGTGGACAATTGGTCCACATGCTGCTAGTTAGTCTTGTTTCTAGTTGCTAAAATGCAAGATGGGTAGAAATTAATTATTTTGCCAATATTTCTTTTTTGTGTAGAAAACAAACTGTTTTTGCAAAGTGCCTTGTGTATCATTAAGAAATGAGAGAAAGAAACTGGCTCGTATGGTTGTATGTGAAAAGGAGTGTTTCCTCATTCTGCTGTTCCCATGAGCGGCTGTTTACTCTTCAAAAACTCTGGAAATCTGCTGTTGCAAAAGGTATCTGGAAGCTTATATTTAGGAAAGGGTATATTAATATTTATTATGGTCAATTTGTAAATTAAAACCAAGAGTTCAGTAGACAGCACAGCACTTTACTGCTTCTTTACTGGAGTATCTCATTCCACGTTATGACCTGGGCAGCACAGCACACGCAGTTAGCATGTTTGGTTTGCATACTGAATAAGCTGTAAGTACAAATACAAACAATCGTGGTCAGTAAGGTGGCATTTTATGGTATTTAAAAAGTCACGACTGGAATTCTCAGAAGGGTGTGTGTGCTGGTGGCATTTAAATTAGGCAGTCTCATGTACGCTCTTTCTGTAGGATTTCATGGAGATGGCTCTGGGTCTCCCTCCAGGATCTCTGTGTTGTTCAGAGGGCGATTTGGTTAGTTAGTAGTTTTTCCTTCTTCCTCTGAGTTTTTCAAAGTCTTTTAGGCATCCTGTATCATTGGCGTTCACAGATCAGAAAGCTGATGCTGGGAAAGAATGAAGTCCAGTATGCAAAACACTTCCATCAAGAGATGAGAGACTTTTACGAGGGGAGACTTCCCCCAGCCTAAAACCTGCTCAGAGTATTGATGGCAGCTCTCCGGCCCCTCCCCGTTATTTTATCCTTCCCAGGGATGGGGCAGAGACATCAGAGAGAATGGGCTGCAGGGGTCTCCTTTGGAAAAGTTGCTATCAGCAAAGGTGGGGGAGGAAGGTTGGTGTTTTTCCACATGAGTTCTCAGGATCCAGAGAAACAGAGCTTCCTTGTCTGGGTGCTTAAGGTCATTTAGGTTTCCCTATACCTTCTCTTTCTGCTACTTCTGTGAAGAGGGGCTGTAGAATTAGAAAATACCGTGCCATAACGAATTAATTTTGCCCAAACTTTCATAACCCCCA